ACACACACACACACACACACACACACACACACACACACACACACCAGTAGACATTTAGCAAACGACAGTATTAAATATTGCAACTGCAGTTTTCACAGTAAAGTGGTCAGCTCTAAATAACAAGTGCAAGAACTAAAATCTTATCTCTTCCAGTTTTCAGGGCGTCAGTAAAAAAAAAAAGTTTTTAAGCTGCTTTTTTTGCAAAGTCATGAAAAACTGCACACAGGCCTCTTTCCGTGCAGGCGGAGGAACCTGAAGGGGCCATGAGTGTGTGGAGGAGGGTACACTCAACTTAACTCACCTGCCTTTGCAGAGGAAAACAGGCTCAGCCATCATGCTAAGCTACTTTTTTTTTTCAAGCAGAATTGCGATGCTGTCTGCAGGGCTTCACTTTGTTTTTGGAGCCTGTGAAACTACATTATTATAATTATGAGGAGAGCAGCAGTGATGGAGAAAAAACCATGTGCTGATTGTTCCATCGCGTCAGGGAGGAGATGGGGGCAGGTGGATGATGATGATGAGGATGAGGAGCTGGAGGATGAGGATGAGGAGAAGCACCCGGTCCGGTCGGTACTCACCTCTCTCCCGGTGGCTCCGCGAATTCAGCGAGTCCCGTCGCCCCCTTCCCCCCCGGCGTGCTCTTGCGTGCTGCTCCAGTTTGGCGACGCGCCGTCCCTTTAATCCATCTCCAAGGTTCCCCTCCGAGGGCACCCCGAAATCCAGACCCCCCCTCCGCCCCCCTCCCTCGCCGCACGTTGGGAGGCTTTTCTGGGAGTATATGGGAGGAGGAGGAGGGGGTTTCTAAGGAAGCAAGGATGGAGCGAGAGGAGAGCAGGGTTGCTGATGGTGGAAAGTCCAATTTTTGCCGCACTCCTATCTGTGTCCTGGCTCCGGAGGGGTGAGAGATTCACGTGCGTCCACGCCGCTCCTCCTGTTGGCTCCTGCGGGTTTCCTCCCCCACACACACACATCCATCAAAAATACAAATACGATTTATAGAATTATACACACTCGTAAACGTCCGTCTCTGGGGTTTTTTGTTCTGTTTTGTTTTGTTTTTGGGTACGCAGCCAGGTTCACAACACACACACACACACTCACACACACACAAAAGCATGGAGGATGATGAGGAGGAGGAGGAGGGATGGAGGGGTGACAGTGGGAGGAGAGAGTTGTGGTGTGTGTGTGTGTTTATGGTGGGGGGAGGAGACAGTCTGGTCCACGCTGCTCTGCCGAATTCCTGTTTCAGGGCGACGGAGACAAAGAGGGAGATCTTTTTTTTTTTTAGGAATGTGTGCGTGCACACGAGTGCGCGCATCACACACACACACACACACAAAAAGCATCCAACGCATAAATATGTGCGTAAAAGTGAGGGGGTGGTTTGGAGATGAACTCAAGAGAGAAAAGCTTTTGGAAACTGTATTTTTTCCCCTTCTGCTGAAATAATTTTAATCTCACAATCAAACACGTGCATAATTTAATTTAATCCAGTAAGATTCTGCTATTTGACCTGGAGTGTCTGCTTCTGCCTTTGTTTACTCTGAAGGGTGTGGCAGGCTGCTGGTGACCACTGCAGCGCATTTAGAAAATCACCTCTGCATGGTTCGTCTGTTAGCAAAATATCTTGTGAACCACAGAACGGATTTTTATTAGGATTTCAGAAAGTTGTTATTGGGTGTACATCTACAACTGATTACCTTCCAGAGTCACCTCAATTCAAGATGGCTGCCACAGACAACTGATCTTAGAAAACACATTAGTGGCTATTAAGCCAGTTTTACAAACATGGAGCTAAATTGGTCTGGTACAAGCTGCACATCATCCCTAATCTAGAGTTTAGGCACAACAAATTGTGTGGTATCTGCTTAAAACTAACTGCTGGAGTCAATGTTTGTAATAGTTAGCAAAATAGCTCATAAACCACTTGTGATTTCAATAAAACTCTCTTTTGGACAAACATCTACAACCAATTCAACTTTGGAGCCAAACCAATATAAGATGGCGGCAAAAGCAAATGTATCTTTGCCAACATAAAAACGGCTTCAGTGGATTTTACAGATATTGAGCTAAAATTTGACGTGGCCGAACATTATGTGAACACATACACTGCAAAAATTAGCCTTCTAAATGTAAGTTTAAAAATAGGCTACTATAGATAATAGTCTGAATATTCTCAAATTAGGTGAAAAAATCTGCCAGAGCAGTAACAATTGCACTTGGTACATGATCATTTTACCAGATATTAATTAATTGTAAATGGGGCTAAGACAAATGTTCTGTTTACAGAGAAATTCGGGTGTAGAATAAATTACCAGCCTGGTGCCCTCATGATAAAAGTGTCAGAGTGCAGAAACAGTATCACCCTTCTGTTTCTGCCTCAGTACATGCTACACTAAAAACATCAAATAATTAAATACACACTCTTTTAACGGATCTCTGATATCTCTGCTTTTAACCAAGGTTTATATGGGATTTGTAAAAAGGGATGTTTTACAATAATGCATACTATGGCTATGTAAAACTTGTTTTAGATTTTGTTCTAACACTTGTATTTTTGTTAACTGGATTTTTTTATAAATTGAAATAAGAAAAAAAATCCAAGCTAAAAGATTAATAATCTAAGTGTTTCGTGCTTCAGGCACATTTTGTTTTATTTTTGCTTTTTTCTAGAGTGTTTTTGTTTATAGTTGGGGCTTTTTTTAGGTTTTTTTTTTTAGAGGAAGTGTTGTATATTTAGAATTGGTTACTTTTTTCTAGTTAAAACTTATATTATGTAAAAGTTCTGATTGGTTAGCTGCCCTACAGGCCTATAAATAGGACTGGTCTGTAGCACTTGATTTAATTTGATTGGATTTGATTTATTGATTTAACTGGAAAAGATTACTAAAAATCAAGCCTGACTCAGCATAATTGCTGTTTTACAGCAGGTTCCTGTTCTGCAGCACATAAAAC